TATATATTATTAGTGTAAAATAATTTTATTAATCATATTTTTTATTAATATTATGTTATTTATTTATTTATTAAATTAAAAATAAAATAAAATAATTTAAAAAATATGATTAATTATGATTAAAAAAAAAAAACTTTACACATAAGTACATAAATGTCAATGGTCACTCCGTGTCAAGTTAGCCAACCACCCCTTTGAAAACTTCAGACAGATTCTCTATCTTGTTCCTTCTGCTATAAATCCGTATCAAAAATTATAAAATATAAAAGAAATCAAAAAAATAGTTTATTTTTATTTTTATTTTATATTTTGTTTTATTTATTTGCTACTCTTGTTATCTATTTTGCTGATACAAATATTTGTCAATTATATACATAATTAATATTCATTGGAAAAACGTTGTTAATTATTTTTTATTACTCGAATGACTGAATTTTGATTGGCCCACGTTATACTAAGTACTAGTAGATAGCCGTAAAAAAACAAAAGAAAATTATCATGATCACTCACATAGGTTATAACGAAAAAGATTCCATGTTTTCTCCAATGTGCTTCTCCCACGTGTACCAGATTTCTTTTGTTTTTGTTTTTCTATATGGATAATATTCTGTTTTATTAGATGTGGTCATTTTTCTTATGGAAACGCAAGTCTTCATTTATTAATATGCTATTCACTATACTCAACCTTGGTTCGTATTCACAGAAAATAATATGTTATTCTACCATCAACAAGACTTATCCATTCGTCCAAAACAATAGAAAATTGGCAGATTAAAGTCTATTCTCTTTTCTTTCTTTTTATGTTTGCAGGCCCGTGTAATTATTGATATAATTAATTTTATTGTTATACCTTTCAATTTTAATGTGAGCTTTAATTTTATCATATCAAAATTAAAGCAAATGTCGTGTAAATCTTTTTGGTTTAGTTAATAGTAGAATTAAATGGAGAAATATGGATCATTTAACATTTAAAATTGTTTAAGCTTTTTGCGTGATTTGGTTTAAATTTCATTAATAACGTCAAATATAACCCCTTTAGGGATGGCAACGGGGTGGGTCGGGTACGGATTTCATGATACCGTTTCCGTTCCCGTGAATTAAACTCATCTTCGTTCCTGTCCCCATATTTGTTGGGTTGGGTATGTGATTTTCATCATCATTCTCGTCCCCGTCGAGTATCGGATATACCCGTACCCATACTCGTATCCGTCAATTTTTTTAATTTTTAATTTTTGTAAAAAAATAATATTTTTAAATTATTTTTTTATTATATTATAATTCTAATTAAGTTATTTTTCTATCTCATAATATAATAAATAATCACACATAAAAAATATTAATTTTTTAATATAATTAAATTAAAAGTGGATATTAAATTAAAAATAAAAACGGGGACGGGTACGGGTAAGGGTACGAGACGGGTAAGTACCTACTCGTACCCGTACCCGATTTAATATATTGGGTTTTACCCGTATTCATACCCTTACCCGGTCAAATTAGGTATTGTCCATCAAAGTCGAGACTATTACTCGCAGGTATGGGTATATTTGTCATTCCTACTCCCAAATTAATGAGAGAAGATTAATAGTACGAATTGAGCATATAATTTAGTATTAAATTTTGATTTTTTTGTGAACAAAACTATTTAATTTAACTAAGAGTCAAGAGAGCACTATTCGTTCACCTTAAAAAGAATAACTTCCAATATAAGAACTAAAAGTTTAAGTTCATGACATCATTGACATGAACTATGAGTATTAAAAAGAAACTATACGAAATATTATTAATTATAAGTAAAAATAAAGAAATAAAGTTCACGAGGACAGAAAAGTATTTAAATCATGGAAAAATAATACTAGTCAAACTGTGAAAGTACTCGTGGATGCAAAAGGTGAAAACTAAAAAGAATGATGGGTGAACATTAATTGCCGTCTATTTGAGGTGGTGAATTGAATGGCGTGACAGTACCGTAGTTATTGGTGGACACATGATTATGAATCCCAAAACCAAAAAAGTCTTTCCGATTGTTGAGGTAGTTCACCATCCTTTATTCCTTTATGCCTTTAACCATTCATTCTCACGCCCTTCTCATGGACTACATTTTCTTCTTCAATAATTTATTTTCATTAGTTGAATGAATGTATTCTTTTTAAAATACATGATACTTACAATTTTGGTCACGTTATTGTAGAATTATAAATTGTCATGTGTAGGGTTTAGTGAATTTGAACAGTATATGCGAGTTATTGTAAATCTTTGAGACTGAATTTGATTCTTATGCATAAAAAAATTATATAAAATAAGTTTATCAATTATTTTGATCAAAGAAATGTATCTTAATTAGTTGAATCAAGTGTATAAATATTATAAACTTTTTCGGAACAAGTTCGATTCAGTAAATTAAAAAAAAATATCCAATTGTCCCGCGTGAGTATTGATATATAAATAGTTTAACTGAATTAGATGAATCTGAATTAAGAAATAGTGGTAATAATATAGTCACCGAATTATTCTTGACGTATTTGAGAGAATAAAATTGAATTGAAATGTTACTTATAATTTATAAAAGACAAATTCCCTTGTCACCTTAACTATTAAATATTAGTTCTAAGTGTTATCATTATTATTTTGTACAAGTTGTTCATTTGTTTTGGTCCCCCGTTATACTCGAATTAATTTGTCACACCATACTTCAATTATCATTATACTCTTATTATTATTTTGTACAAGTTGTTCATTTGTGACATTATATTTCAATTAATTTAAATCAAATTTAGTAAACTTATTTATTTTATTAGTTAGAATTGCAATAACAATTGTAATACTATGGATTTTATAATTGTTTGGTTATTTTTATTTATTAAATGATGATATGTGATTAGTTATTTTGGGTTAAGGTCAAAGTTAATTAAATTTAGAAAAAGATATATAAGGTTTTCTTAAAATTTGAATTTCATAAATTCATTTCCTTAAGAAAATTATAGAAAAGTTAGGAAGAGGTGTAACGACCCGCCTGGTCAATACACACAACACAGCACACCAAAATACTACACAGAAACGAACAAGTATATACATATAGGATCTAGAATATATATATATATATATATATATATATATATAGGGTATAGAATATATATATATATATATATATATATATATACAAGGTCCAAATCCGTCTAGAATCAAAGTGTACAAAATACATCCAGCAAATGCTAACTAAGTAGCTAAATACATCAAAAGAATAAAACTTCATCTGCTAGCTGCAGACTCTCATCAGCAAACACCAACCTAACCCTGTCCTGCTCTCATACATAGTATGATCATCGCAGTCCAAACCACATGGAAACAACAAAGGGTAAGCTAGTGAAAGAAACAACATACATATATAAATATATGAATAATAGCTACAGCTATCAGCACATCAATCATCTTAACAACATCAGCTTAATATATATAACAGCACACCTTTCACATCATTCAGCAATAACAACAGAGAACAGCAGTACACAGCGATAAATAGCAGTAAACACACAATGTGTCGTCACACATATAAGTTAGTATTGGTCGCTTGTAAGCGGTATAGCTCGACCTGACCCCTATACCGTGGTCGCTTTATACACGTGTGCCTCGACCTTGCCCACACACGGGACCACTAAGAACTTAGAGGAGAACAACAAGTTACCACTCCAAGGGTCAACTTTCCAGGGAGAGTTTTCAACAAATTGAACTCTAAGAGCACCACAACCACTCAATCCACACAATGGGATGAGGAATTTCGAAAACATCTCCTCTAGTCTTAGTGATCAACAGCTCAGCCTTACGGCCTACAACAGCTCCTATCAGCACGGAGCACAGCACTGCATAGCAGCAATAACAGCACCGACTTAACGACTATAACAGCACCACATTAGTGGCTAATAACAGCACCGGCATAGCGGCTATAACAGCACCACAATAGTGGCTAATAATAGCACCGACATAGCGACTATAACAACACCACAATAGTGGCTAATACAACATACAACTCAGCACAACACAGTAATATCAACATATAGCAATAGCGGCTTACAGCTCTATCAACTTACAACACGGCTAAACAGCTTACAGCACAACATTATACATCAAATACGACTTAAATCAGCATACAGCACAGCACAGCTTACAGCACAACATTATACATCAAACACAACTTAAATCAGCATACAACACAGCTCAGCTTACAGCACAACATTATACATCAAATACAGCTTAAATCAGCATACAACATAGCTCAGCTTAACATCTAAACACAGCTCATAGCACAGCCTAAACAACTTACAACACAACAATATCAGCATCCAATACAGCTAAACAACTTACAGCACAACAATATCATCAACTACAGCTCAACATCATAATTCAGCATTATCAACTAGTCAGCACATCAATATTTAACATCTACAGTTCAGCTCATCATATCTATCAGCAAATTTCTATACATAACAGCTTAACATTAAATATCATGCCTGCGCCCGGCCCGCTCATGGTCGCGCCCGGCGTGGCACA